CCTACCTATGACTACTTTTATACTCATCACCGTTTACCACAAAAAAAGACAAAATAAGTAAAAGAAATAATCTAATAGTGGGCGCAGTTGATTTCTTATATTTTCAAAATGGAATTTTTTGTTGTAGAAGCATGTGGGCGTTGTAGGCGTCTCTTTTGAATAGATTAGGTTAATTCCAAATTCTTGCGCAAATATATGGGCATTTTCGCTAACGGGAGAATGTTTACCACAAATACTGTAAAGTTGCGCAAGCAGACAAATGCACAGACGAGCAGGCGGACATTTTTAAGTGCATTCAAGATTTGAAACTGGCCAAACATTAGTCTCCTTTATGGGGTTTTTGAAGCTTGTTTCTGTGCGTTGTAAAGGTATTGAAAAAATAATTAAATTTTTATACAGTATAGCATTAGGTAGGCGTGGCCAATTTTTTTCATTTTTGTTCACAAATGTTACAGCATGGCCCATAGAATATGCGTTCAGATTATTGTACATTTATCTGCTGTAGTTTCTAAGTAATGAGCAAAAAACCAGTTGTTTATTTCTTTTGGAAAACAGAAGTGTTTTCGCCTTACTTGGCGCCGTGGGCATATCCTTTAACCGAATTGGCAAATCGTCAATACCAACCTGCGTGCAAGAAGTTTCAATGTTTCTCCCAAATTGGAAGTCGATAGCCAGGAGAATGTTTACAACACATTACACACACGTACAGACGGACATGCTTAAATCGATTTACGATTTAGTGCTGTCTAAGAATACATATACTTTGTGAGATCTCTGATGCTTTGTACTGGGCGTTGCAAACCTACTATTCCAGTGTCATAAAATTTAAATTTTTTTGATACCTTTATTAGCCCGCTTCAAAAATCCGACATAGTACATAAACCGTTGCCCACTTTCTAATTCCTGCACCTAAGCAACTGTGTGGTGTCTCTTGTACATATTCTCCCGCTGGCAAAAAAAAAGATGTCGCCCAAAAATTCACAAAAAAGTTTGAAAAAGGCCCCAACAGGTCAAAGAACACCGCAAGAAGAATTGAAATGCCTTCGCTTTGCGCGTCTTTTGCTCGTTGCTCATAAATCACAACAGATATATGGCAAGAATTTCAAAAATCAGCCACGCCCACCTAATACTGCGGTATAAGTAAATTTATATTTTTCCCTTTTTTAATCTTTCATAGTATAACGGTGGTGGGTGTAAGAGATTCGGTCGCAACCGAACGTAATTATCTTAATCTTTGTTTATATCTGAAATATTATTGAAATTATATTATGTTCCCACAAATTTTTAATTTGTACTATTGCTTTCCAAAAAGTGAAAACTTTTTTCTGCATCTTTAATTTCTTACAAGGCAGCCATCCTGCCTGCTCGTCTTTCCTTGTAAATGAACGCGCATATCAACTTAAAAGTTTATTCATTTGCTTTTGTTGTGTTATATTATATTATATGGTTATATTATCTAAATAAACAAACAATTTATTCATATGTAACAGCGTTTGGAAATTTGTGCATTTATTATGCACAATTTTTATTAGTGCTTTATCGCTTGTTTGCATAGTCGTGTAATTTTTGATTTTCTTAATTGCAAAACAGGTAGCTTTTCAGAGAAACACATTTAAAAAAAAGAAGAAAAATAAATAACAAATTTTTTTTTTAAAATCAAATTTTCCTAAATCTTTTCGCAATATCCCCAACGATTTGTTTACATCTGTTGTTTAATTTAGTCGTCAGTTCGTTCATATACCCAGACGCATATAAATATCATTTGAGTCTCAAAACAGATGGTTTTCTATCGTAATGCTGATTGTGTTGTGCTGTCTCTCTTCAATTGGCTTGAGTGCAAACGAATGTCAATCATTTGCTCTGTTGCTCTATTGACCTCAAAATTTTATAAAAAAAAAAACAAATTTTCAATCAAACCATTGTGCCAGACTACCAGATGTTCAATACACAAAGTTGCTTTGGTATTACTTCTAATAATAAAAGAAAATTTTTTATTATACTTGCGATCAAAGGGAATGGGAGAAAAATTGAGAATCTTCAACGGATTCTAACGGATAGTTATTAGGATGAGATAATGACAGTCTATATTCGACATTCTTCCACTAACTACTGCGTAGGCGGGAAGATAAGTTTCGCGACTGTTAAGTTGGATCTCAATGCTGTAGATCATACTTAATAAGTAGTTATGTATAGATTTATGTTCATTTCAGCCCATCTATTAATATATTACGCAGGTTTACTTCTGATTGATATTTCTCGCTATAATGTCATAGCTCAAGCCTTCAAGTTCAGTTAGCTGTTTATTACCTTAAACCTAACAACACTGTAAAGAAAAGAAGGTCTTCTCTGCAATGCCGCAATTTAAGCCTTTAATCCTAATATTGGAGCTTAATTCGATTGAATGTACGAGATATGTTTTAAAAAAGCGACTTTTCAAACTTCGTCGGCTGCGTATACTCGGCCCACTTACACGTACGTATACACATGTTCCCAACATATGTGGACATTATCAGGAATTTTGCGTTTTTAGTTTGTTGTTTGATTGATATGAAGGCTGTGCTTGTCGATTTCTTATTTTCGAAAAAAATGGATTGAAAAATCCGTATTTTGTTAAAAAAATAAAATAGCATGCTTCCTCTCACCTAAAATGTTCACTGTTACATTTGACGGATGTATAAGCTCGTCGCAGAAGACCGACTTGCAAATGACGATGACAGCTTTAGACGCCCCAGTATGTCAACGACTGATGAAAACGTTAAGGCAGTGAAGCAAATTGTTAAAGTAGAATTATCGAATCGCTATTCGAAAAGTTGCTGAGGATGTCGATATATCTGTTGGCTTATGCCATGCTATTTTTTCGAACGTTTTGCTCACGAAATGAGTGACAAAGAAGTTTGTTCCGAAATTGCCAAATTTTGATTTTGCTTACTCGTAATCTTTTGGCCAAAAAGGATACCGTCATCATGCTTCAGCCACCGGATTTGCCGAACCTGCCCCCTCTACGACTTTTTCTTGTTCCCAAAACTGAAAAGACCCAGGAAATGCCGGAGTTTTACCATGATTAAGGAGACAAGGATCGCATCGCTGAAAGAGTTAAAGGCCATTTCAAAAAGCGCATATCACAAATACTATGAGAATTGGAAAAACAAATGCATTATATCTTAGGGGAATTACTTTCAAGGGGCAAGATAGACATTGAATAAATAAAATTTTTCGAGAAAAATTAAGTCAACTATATTTTGAACACATATTATGGCCAGCAATGTATAGAAGAACAACCTCTACTAGGCATACTGCCTCCTTATCCTCCGGCCTATCCTCTCACATCTACCCGTCTTTTTAATTTCATAACCACTTTTCTCTCTATCCCTGTAATTAGCAACATTTTTTCTTTCTTTTCTATTTCATGAGCTGCCTAATTGCAGCACCTAGTTTCATGCTCTTATACTACTGTCAATCCTTGCGCTTAGGATAAGATCAGAGAGCCACAGGCCAAGAGGGATCTTAAACGAAAGGGCTAAAGGCAATAAATAACAATTCCTTGCTCTGAAAATGAGTAGGACTACGAGAACGGATCCAATAATCCCCTAATTGGCGACGTTTAGTCCGTATTAAGCGTTACGTTTACTGTCATATATGTATTCTCCACGCATTTAACCACATAACTATGACAGATATGTACGCCGTGGTCCATCCGTCCGTTCCTAACGGACTTTTTTATAAACATTGATCATTATTAATATGTATTTGCCATAAAAAGTTGTTTCAGAAAATACTTATTTCATTTTGTCAAGTCGTCGGGGCCGACGTAGTTTACTGTTTAAGGAAAATATGATAGAACGTAAACCAAACTTTAGTATTTGTTTTATCGTGTTGAAGACTAGGAAATAAGCAGAGCAAAAAACTTAATTTCGACGAATTTAATTACGACCCAGTACTTTCCTAATTCTTGAGGATCGTCTTATAGAATATTGTTGCATATCGTCCACCTTAAGCAAAATTGAAAGGACAAAGTCAAAAGTTTGCAAAACGACTAAAAAGCTTTTTATTCATTTATTTCCATTCTAGTTGATAGTAATAATACATTCACTCTCAAATAGTACTTAAATTGTTCTTATATCATCTGTTGAGGAAAACTCAAACTTAAGGCTATGTGGAGATTGGCTTCGTGTGGGGTTCAATACTACTCTGTGGCTATAGAAAGTAATGGAACATGAAAATTGATCATTGAAAGCAATCAAATGAACCAGTTGTTACAACTTAATAATAAACTCAACTCTTAATGGCATCAATTTATGCAATCGCTAAGTAATTATTGGCAAAGAGAGAAATCTACAAGCGATCGTTCAAGGAATCTTGCATCGTATAGTGTGTGTATGTCATTGTGTTTGTTTGTGTGCCTAATGAATATAATGAATAATTAACCCAATTTTTCAATTAATCGTTCATATATCGATTAGCCATATATCGTTCATATATATCATTCATATATATTATCATTCATATATATTACATAAATATTGTTATCGTTATTAAGAAAATCTGATAATATTCGCATTTGTCCAGCGGTCTGTGATTGCAGCCATTTGGTTAATTAAGCGGCTCCTTTGGTCAATTAAATACGAAAGAAAAAAACAAAATTCAAGTAAAAAAGTATCTCACACTTGTTTCTCCTCCAATACATGCAACATCACGTTATGTTGTGTTTCATTGATTGTATGTTTTAATGTGAATTTTTTTTTTTTTTTGTATATATTTTTTCTGTTGTTGCTGTTGTCGTGAAATGCGACCATAACAACAATATACCCAGATAGTGCCAGACTTGAACCACAAATATTTAAATAAAAAGCGATAAACCGTGGCTGGCTGGTGAATTGTTTTGTTAGGGAATGAGTGAGAGTGTGTGTGTCGGCGTTTTGTTGCATGCTAACGTAAAACAGTTTGGGGACAGACACTGGTACGTGTTTATATAGATTAACAGATATAACCTGTGCACAAATGGATTTCTTGGAATTTCAATAACTGATTCAATGAACAACTACCGCATTTAAATTGTTGTTGTTGATGCTGCTGTTGCTACTGCTGGTTATGTTGGTCGTTAAAATTTGTTGGTATCGCTTGGCTAGTAAACATATTAATAAACACCAGCACTTTGTAAACAGTGCTTTAAGCTGCCGAATTTTCTTATTTATTCATTCACTTATTACTTGAAAACACGATTTCAAAAATCATTTTGATTGTTTGTAAAAAAAAAACAAAATTCAATACGATGTTCACTTGTTGTTGTTCTCTGGACGGTGATCTTTACAGGCTGCTATGGAAACTTATGCGCTTACACACAGTCGCCAAAGGTTTAAAGTTATTTCTTGTTTGTGGTTAATTGATTAAATTTACAACATGTTTGCTCCGCTACTAATCCGATGACAGGCGCGTCAATCGTTTGAACTGGTGACCGTGCATAAACCATGAAATCATGACTATTATGTGTCTGTTAATACCTCCGATGTCTCTTTCCCACTGTCCGCCTCTGACTCCGTCGCTTCTTTCTTTCAACGGTCAACAATTTGAGTCTGAAGGAAACCAAGAAGCGAATTTCGAATGAAACGAAAAGAAGCCATTAACTTCGCAGACGTTGAGCATTTGTTTGAAAGGAACATGCGAAGAAAGGATAGAATACGAGGAAAAAGATCAGTGTGTGGTAATCCCTAATGTACAATAAAGAAAAAAAATAAGATAATAATGTTAATGGCGCCAACAAATGTTTGCAACAGAATAAAGACAAAAATAAAAGGCAATAAAGGTAATAAAAATATCATCTTCAAAGAATTCTCTGTACACTTCAGGTGCAGTTAAAGTAAGCTATCTTAAGGACTTAAAATTCAAGGCTTACGTAACCTGATTAAGATTTAGTATCTTAGTCGTTGTGTCTATGTAACTAACAAAGAGGCTGCGATTGTAAATTTTAATCGCGTTAATTCTCAGAAAATCCTTATTACTCTTAAGACCATGTCGGATAATTAGCACGAATTGTAAGAAAAATTGTATTACTACTTGCCTTTTTAGAGTAAATAAAGATCGCACTTGTAAGTTTCTAGCCATAACGTGAACAAAATCCGTCTACCATAAATATTGCGAGTTTTATGATAACTCGTCAGCTAATAGACGATAATGAGGAAAATTTTTTCGAAGTAACTTGGATCACTTTATCAAAATAATCCGAAAGACGTGCTTAGTGCTATTAGAATACTTTATGGACGGGTGTGTAGATTTCTATCGAGATAATCCATGGGATTGTTTTATAGTAGTTTAAGCCTCATTCTCCAAAGTGAAACCTTCGCAATCTTTTGTATAATTGTCAAGTCTAGGAAGAGGACGATTGTGTGTTTCGGCATCGTTATAACGTGTTCCAAATTTCACTGAACAGCTGCCAAGTTTGGAAAGACTAGCATCGCGTATTCAGACGTCGTTACCAGAGTAACGTAGTTGGAACTTCACTGAATAACGTTCACACTTAGAAAGGTAGAGATTGAGAGTTCAGGCATCTTTGTCATAGGAAGGTAGTCAGAACCTCACTAAACATATATTACTTGTAGACCGACCAGCTTTTATAACTAGAAATGCGTTTATGTTACGTTTCACTTCTGCTAAAAATCAACAGGTATTATAGAATCGTAATGCAGGTGATGTGCGTAACGTCTCACAGATTATAAGCTATTGGTGAGTGAAATATTAGGTCTAGGTGCAAATTTCTGCTGATAATCCCCAGAATGTTCTTATTATGCTTTAAACTACGCTCTACGTCTTTCATATCCCATCCTTGAAATCTGTTTACACGTTTATGAGCGAGCCTGGCTGTCTTCGTATGTTAAGGCAATCTATGTGCATATCGTAAACTAATCGTCACACGATCATATATTTTAGAAAATATCTTTACTGAGCGCAGACATTTAGATCAATTTTCAAGTTCCATTACTAGTACAACCCGTGGTAATTCCATACGAATAAAAAATCAGTGAACCGACCTCAGTCTTTGAATCGTCACTTCGAAGCGTGAGGCTTAGTAGTAGTATTCTGCATATCTCCCTCATAAACATGACACACCAACATATACGTATCTAGTTATAATAATTGAAATTTAGGAGATTAATTTGTAATCTCCTTCTTCAATGACGGATGTAATAAACTTCTTAAACCTGTAGTGTTTACCTTTAGAAAAAAAAGAGTAGATACGGAAAAGGTCTACATATTTCAATTGAAACAACAAAGAAACGATTTACATTTTGTCATGAATTCCATCTGCATAGTTGTCATTCTGCATGTCCTCCTCGTACGCTCAGCTCAGTTGTTCAGTTTGTCATGGAAAACGGCAACAATTTTCGTTGTTAAATTTTTGCATTGATTTCAACTGAATTATTGAAGACAATTTTTGTTGTTGTTTTTTTCTTTTTACCCATAAAACAATAACAAATGCTGTCTTGAATGGAATAAATCGGTTCAGCAGGAGAGGCAAATAAACGACAATTTTATAAAAAATCAAGAGCAGAAAAACAAAAAAAGCGTCGTACCTTCGTCGCAGTCATTGTTCTTATGGAAGTTACATATTTGCTGACTAAGAATGATTAAGCCTTTTGTGGTGACATCTTGACTAAACGACAATACAGAAAAATAAAAGAAAACAGTAGAAGACAAACGTTCCATTCTGAAGAGTTAACATTCATTTTTATACCTACTTACCATCAAACGTTGGTGTATGTTCATATTACAAAAACGTTTGCAATACCGTAAGGAATGATTTAGGTACCCTATAATATATAAAAAACATACATACATTTGCCTCGATCTAGGTATATCTGTCCGTCTGCTTGCCTTTGTGCGTGAATGTGAAATTGGCTTGAAATTTGGCAAAAAGGGAGTGAATTTTCCGGCGGCGAATTGGGATCAGATTGGTCAAAAGACACTGCTACAGTACAACATGAGCTGAGAGTAACTATATCCTCAACTTCTTTCACATTTTTTCCTATAATCAATTGTAAATACGATAATAAAAACATTCAAACATATGCTATGGATTATCCTTCAGAGCACCTTTACAACAAATTCGTTCACACCAAACCGATATTATTGGTTAATCCGTATAAGCAGCTGAGTCCATAAGAATCGCATCTACCTAGTCATTGTGCGCGAGTTCAATTTTGAATGTGGCAGAGCATACTTGGCCGTACATACACCGGATGCTTAACTGGTAAACGCGCAACATTTAGCTGTTGAGCGTAGGCCCACTAGGCTACGGCCATTTCCTATCTCTTTCTCTTTCCGCACTTCTACCTTCTGGGTGATCGCTCGTATTTAAAAGAAAAAACATTATAATCGGCTACAGCCACCACTAAACACGCTACACCACCCTACAGTGATTAACGTAACGGCTTTTCGAAGTAAGGCGTTATATGGGATCCGTCCAGTCTGAAATATTTTCAATGGCGTTTGGCCTTGAAGCAAAACACGTCAGATTTCATCAAAACATCTTAAAAATTGCTGCTTTTAATTTGAAGGCGTAATAGGGAGCGGGCCTACCTCAAGTCTTTCTGGCTGGTGCATACATCCCCACATTTTTAAACCCAACTTTATATAATAAGTGTTGTAGGATGTAAAAATAATCAGATTATCTAAATTTTATTTTTACCGTCTTTTGTTTTATTTTATTTTTGAGTGTTTATAAGATAAATAGATAAGATGGTGGTTGTAAAAGACTCGGTCATACTCGAAAATAGTTTTGCTACTGTTTTTCTTTTATTTTTTTTTTTTTTGGCAACAAAAAAAATAATGTGGTAAAGAACATGCAATGAAGGCAGGAGATCGTTTAATAAATTCAGCGTTGTAAAGAGAGCGTGTATCTCAGAGTCAAAAAAATTTCCTTAACGAGAGTCTTCAAAAATATTTTGCGTTCGTATAATAAAAGTTTTAACTTATACGTTCCACTTGTGCTCTGAAAAATTTCCTTCCAATGTCCACCGCGGCTTTAAACATACCGACCTACACAAAGGCTTTAGCTGTTAATCCCCTTGTCCGTTATCGGCGATGGCGGCTGGCAAAGTCCCGTGTTACACGAATTTATGTGGCCAAAAGTTGCGATCACAGATATTGAACATCTCAAACGAGCCAGACTACGCTCGATTTGGTACGAAATAAGAGATGTTTCTTGTGGATTTGTGAGTTGCTCACCGCGATCGCGTTTCTTGGCATACATTATCAAACGTAAGCATGTAGGCCATAATTGTGAATTTGAGAGAAAGAGAATTACCAAAATCAATTTCAAGAGTCTTCCGACGCATGTCCTCTTGCATCACAAACATGGTTAACACATCGCATCAAATGTCTACTGGTGAAGAGAGCATCTCTAACTTCTTGGAGATCCTTGAACGTTAGCGTAACTCTACTTATGTATACTCATAAGTACAGTTATAGCAACTGTTCTCCAGAAATGAAAGAGATTAGTCGATGAACCAAGCTCTTTAAAACAACAAACTACTTCGCTTTCTCATCTTTCTCACGTATTGATCCCGGAATCATCCTTATACCGCACGTTAGACTATCGCGGCTTCGCCTTCTCGAATCGCATTAGCCGCGAGGAAGCTACTTGTCGTGTGATCCTTGCCAACGTTTCACACGTTCCCGTTTTGATATCCATTGTGCACAAACATCACTCATCTTTAAATGCTTTCTCACCACTAGCCTACCCTCGCCTCTTGAGGGGATCGCCTGAATGGTCGCCCCAAAACAGTAAATAGAATAGAGTCGTGCTAACGTCTGCGTTTCCCCTGCACTTGATTATGCCATGGTTTAGACATATCTTGTACGCTATAAACTAATTTGCATATGCAGGCTTATTGATTGCTTAAACAATTCTTAAAGAAATTTATGAAGCTTCGAGTTTTACTTACCTCAGTGATTTCTATTGAGTTATCAAATATTTTTTTTAACAAGTTACCAAATGTTTTTCTTTTCTTCTCTTTTCTTTCGTTGTTTCTTTATTTTAAGATGTTCGTGTTTTCACATTAACATAGTTGAAGCCCACCAATATTTCGTTATAGATGCCTGCATGCAAGCATGCATAAACATACTGTTGCAAGTATGTTTCAGTTTAGTTGTATTAACGAATTCTGGCTATGATTCATTTGTTCGGAATTTTCTCGTACAAAAAAATGAGGAGGAGAAGAAAAGCAGCAATTCAATGGTATTTCGATTTATTTTTTTATTGTTTAGTTTTTATTATATGGCTGAAAATTGATTCTCGCGTAGTTGTTTGTTGCTGATCAATGAGACAATATTTAACGTATGTGTGCACGGTATGTTTGTAAATATTGGCTTGATTGTTGGCGTTGTAGTGACAGTTTCTAATTGTTGTTATCATTGCTTATTCTCTTTTTTTTTTTTTTTTGTTTAAATTTCAACAATTATAAAAGCATTTGTTACGATACGATTGATTACAGATGATACGATGGCAACGGCGATGGTGGGGAGCGGTAAAACTTTTGCACAAATTTAAAATTACAAATTGCTTTTTTGATAGTTTTTGTTATTTTCGGGCGATCTAATGTAGAAGCTATTCATTTTTTATCTTTCAAAAAGACCGCAGGTGGCATTTTTCTAAACACTTTTTGTGAAGACATTTTTCTTGTAGTACTTTTGGTTTAGGAAAAATCGTTTAAAAAATGTTTTTTCTTTAATTTTATCTCTGAAATGCTTAAACAGTATGAAACTATATTAAAATATTTCTCTTTTAAACATCAGGTGCGTTAAATGGTGAAAATCTATATAGGTTTTTCGTAACAGATATCAATCAGGAATGTTTTATGCCCGTCACCGTTATATCTAAAAAAAAGTTGAAAAGCTATCTTTTCATACTTTATGTTATTGGGTAGGCGCTGTTGGCTTCTTCCGTTTCCAAAAAGAATGTGCAAATTTTTATGGTATATAGGAAAGGTGTTCGTAGTATTTGTTGTACAAGAATGTGGACGTTATAGGCTTATCCTTCGACAAACTTGGGTGATTTTTAAATTCTTTTGCAAACTTGTAGGTAATATCATCATTTCTGCGAACAGGGGAATGTTTACTAATGTGGCCAAGAAGTTATACACTTTTTGGTGTTTTTGAAGCTTCTTTCTGTGTGTTTTAAAGGTATTTACGGCGTCCATGAAACTTCCTCCTTAGCTTGGCAAACGCTTTGACAAAACAAATATTCACCTCTTGCATAACAACAAAAATCTACGCAGACATAGTAGCAAATAACTTAGGCTCCGTAGGAAAAATTAAAAAGTTTAGCTTATGGGTTTTTGTTATTTTCCATTATTCGGACTTTTTATACCATACACCTCTTGCGGAACAAGGGTATATTAAGTTTGTGGGCATGTATGCAACATTCTGAAAGGCTTGAGGTGAACCTGACGTTTAATGAACCGATCAACTTAGAATCACCTTTTGACTTGATTTAACAAAATAAATATTCGCATTAAATCGAAATCTATATATCTGTAGTGTGCGATATAGTTTTCGACTAAAACCCACCTAAAGCACTTTTTTGTTATTAATCGTTCTTGTTGCATGCAATTATTGTTTTAGTGATTAAGTCAGTTGATTGATTAGTGTTTAATAAAACCTATCTTTAATATTTTCTCAACTGAATTAAACATGAAGCGCTCTGCCTTTCACTCTTTCTACATATTCTTTTGTTTTTCTCGCTTAATAAGCATCTATCGTTTTTATTATTTAAGAACAAGTTGTTCTATTTTGCAATTTAAACAAAATGTTGCTAAACTTTGTTTCATATTCAATTACCATGGAATTTTTTTTTTTGAGTATCGTAGCAATGAAAACAGATTTTAATCTTGTTCTCTTTCACTCTCTATATCTAATGTTATTCTCTTTATTTATTTTTTCTTGTTTACCTAAGCTTATGCCTGCTGTCGTTTAAGCCGAACTGCGCACCAATCGTAAATTGAAATGAAATACTGTTAACAAAAATATCAGTCGAGCTGTATTTTGTGTTTTTCGTGAAATCATCGTCGTTGTCGTTTTAGTTTTCAATTTTCAGTTTAATAAACTTTGAAAAACTAGTGACGTTGTCATACACATGAATATAACAACTTGGCTTTTGCTATATATTAATTAATTAATCGTTCAGACAACCGACCACTAAAACATATCGCAACTATTTCTGTCTCTATCCTGCTTGCTTCATTTATCTTTTTTACTCAGTGCTTGAAAAGAACATTAAATTGACCGTTAAGCGAAAAAACGATATTCGTTCAACATTCTAGCTGTGGAATATAGTTACTTATTGGTGCTTTTGTGATTGTTGTATTTCCTTTAATACTATTAGTATTAAGGTTTTTACTTGGCTCGTGATAATTTAATTATTGTATCGTTTTTTGTTGTTGCTATTGCCAGTCTTATGTAATCGTTTGCAATGATCTTATGGCCCCAAGTTTTCTGCTCATGGAATGGAAGTCATTTTATAACTTTTATATTCTTTTTTTGATATTGGTTTTGCATTGTCTGAGACGACAACAGGTGTCTTTTGGGGGTCTTAACAAGAACAACTACGGCATGTGAGCGTGCAAAAGTTGAGCGACGTAAAAATTTCTGTTTGATTGCTTTTCGTCTGTATAAGAATTTTATTTATTACCATTATTCATTATCCATAACAATAATCTGCAATGAAGGAAAGAAAAGAGAGAAAAGGAAAAACAATGAAACGATAAGTTTTATTTATTACTTTTTTATTATAATTAATAACAATAAAAAATTAATATATGAAATTAGTATTAAATAAAAATAAAGCCGTGAACTGTGGTGGTGTTTATAAATTAAATTTATAAAGTTTATGCTTACTTCAATTTATTTCGAAAGTAAACTGTTTCTATTTGTTGTGAGCCGATTAATGAGTTTTGAGTAAGGTATGTGAATGCAATGAAAATATTTTATATTTTCTAAGAATTATGAAGTGTTTTTGCGACAAGCTATCTAGGTTTACCTTTCTTCACTTTTTTTAAGGATAGTAGGCAGCTTCATGAATAGATCGTTTCGAGTTTCAAATTTTAGACGTTTAGACATAACTTTAATTCTTAAAAGTATACTTCCTGTGTGAAAAGTGCCCGGTAATGCCAAAAAGGAACTTGAATATCCCTTTTGAATTTGCGTTGCCTGCTTCGAGAGCCGTCGCACTTTAAATTACAGCACCTCCTGATCAAGTCCTACAACCTTTATTTTTATACGCTTACACACATTTGGCTCTCAACATGATCAGAAATTTTTATACCCCATAGTGCTCCGGTAGTCCAGCGGATATTAAATTTGTACGAATGTATACTATGCGACGCTGTGATCGTGAGTATCGTGTGTTCAAAGGGGAAAGGCATAATACTTTCTAATTGGACACAAACACCTATTAAGCTACGGCCACTTTCCTACACATCGTTCTCTTTCTTCACCTCTTATCCTTTCTGGCCAGCACCATGTTACACGAATAGGGGACATACCCTATTGATCGATTGATCGATTGAGATCAACCCACTTTTTATTATAGTGGTCAATTCAGTTTTTCTGCCCGTCTTGCCCAAGTACGAATGTTATTGAAAATTGTTTGGATCGGATCATTCTTTCCTTCACTTTCCATAAAATGTCTTATTTCGAAAAGTCATTTTATGAACAACTATATTAAGCGAGGTTGTATAGAGTATTCCATGGTGGGCCATGTCCTATTATAAATGGTTTTACTTATATTTTTTAGGAAAGTCTTTAAAAATTAAGACCTGTATCCAACATTTTATGTAATAAATTATTATTATTATTATCATTCCTGGCAACAAACGTTATTTACATCCCCTCCCCTCGTTATATCTGCGATTTATTTCCTTCAATTGTTATAGTTTATGTAAATTACTTTTCTTGTGAAAACAATCGAAACCATGACTGCTGCGAATATGAATGTATTCGTAACTTGTCTTAACATCTTATATAAATTGTGTTTATAAATTAGTTTGGGGAAAAAGAAATCCATTATTTTTTCGGTAGATGGCTGCACTGATAGATTTCTCGTAAAGTATCGATCAAACCATTTCATATTTATGCTCGTTGGAAAGGTGACATTTCGCAGTAAAAAAATTCTTTTGCGGTTTTTTGTTTGGTGCATTCAGTTGTGAGTTACAGCGTGTTAAAAATGGAAGTGAACAAAGAGAAAATTCGGTACATTTTACAGTTTTTCTTTGACAAAGGCGAAAATGCAAGCCAGGCGGCTACAATTGTGAATGGTGTTTATGGTTCCGATACTTTAACAGCCAATTATGTGCAATTTTGGTTTCGTACATTCCGTTCAGGAATTTTTAATGTTAAAGATGCACCTCGCACAGGTAGGCTGGTCGTCGAAAATGTCGATAAAATCGGAGAAATGATCAAAGTTGACCGGCATATTAGCAGTCGTAACATCGCCCAGGAGCTAAAAATCGACCATAAAACAGTTTTAAACCATTTACACAAAGCTGGATTCAAAAAGAAGCTCGATGTTTGGGTGCCACACCAATTAACAGAAAAACACATCGTGGATCGAATTTCCATCTGCGAAGCCTTGGCCAAACGGAATGAGATAGACCCATTTCTTAAACGGATGGTGACTGGAGATGAGAAATGGATCACATACGATAACCCTGTGCGAAAACGATCGTGGTCAAAGAGCGGTGAAGCATCTCAAACGGCCAGGAAGGTTTTGCTATGCATTTGGTGGGATTGGAAGGCGATTATTTATTATGAGTTGCTTCCATATGGCCAAACGCTAAATTCTGATCTCTACTATCAACAACTGGACCGTTTGAAGATAGCGATTGACCAGAAACGGCCAGAATTGGCCAACAGGAGAGGTGTCGTTTTCCACCAGGACAACGCTAGGCCACACACATCTACTGTGACTCGCCAGAAACTTCGGGAGCTTGGTTGGGAAGTTTTAATGCATCCGCCATACAGTCCGGACTTGGCACCAAACGATTATCATCTTTTTCTTGCATTGCTAAATTACTTTAATGATAAAAAAATGAAATCTAGGGAGGATTGTGAAAATCGACTACTAGAGTTTTTTGCATATAGAGACCAGGATTTCTATGAGAGAGGCATTTTGAAGTTACCTCTAAAATGGCAACAAATCATACAACAAAACGGTGCATATTTGACCCAAATCGGACAATCCGAAGCATGTTAAATAAAGTCCTGAAGTTGAAGTAAAAATAATGGATTTATTTTTCCCCAACATACATTCTACAAAATTGTATTGTATAATACCATAAATAGAGGATAAATTGTGATTTAATTTTATGTTTTTATTTTTAATGGATGAAAACCGAAATCTTTCCTTTCCTTTTGATTGGTTTTCTAGCATCGTTCTCAATCTTTACGCATGTCGGCCGTTGGAGTCCTAAAATTCACAAAGACGATCATAGAATGGCGAAGGTTGAAGTCAGGCAGATGCAACGTTGTTGATTTGAGGTTCACAGAAGTTTGCTATAAAAATATAACAGATAACCGAAACAAACTCGAGGAGGTTTTGAAATTATACGCACACTTTTGGATTATTGATTCTTAGGGTTTAAAAGACGGGTTATTTTCTTAAAAAGACGGAACCGCTATGCAGGAGGAGAAAATCTTAGCTAAGCTAATCGAATGAATTTTTACAGACGTCTTCAAGACTGCTGCTTCAATTGACTTATGGCTAATAGTGTCCACGAAATCAACGCTTTAGTCAACTACTAGTATCTTTGGGATCACTGATGACATTACTCTAAACCATTTTCTTAAACCTAAAAGTAAACGTAAGTATTTTTTTCGCTTTATAGTAAATCATTCCCTTAATAAATTTTTATTCCACCTGAAATCGTAAGGTTTGCTGGTAAAAATGAAAGTCGAAAGTTGAAGATTAGCATAAATATTCCTTTAATTTAATCTTATGATAATCGTTTCCTGGCATTGCCAGCTTTATCATGAGATTAGTGTTCGGTTAAGTTTAATATTCCGAAGCAAAGAAACGCTTTAATAAGAATTTTGAACTCATAGAAAACACAATGTATATTAATCTTCTTCTTTAACTTTTGGGTTTTTGGCAACAATACCTAGTTGAATTTGTTCAATTGACGTTGGTAGACTTCTGTACTAACAGTTCCATGCGGTTTTAACAGCTCGTAATACTTTGTCACACTTTACGTCCATGAATATTTCGCTCCGGTGTCGATGTGGATGGCTCTCTTGGACTAACCCGCGACTTATCTCGCTTAGAATCGTCGAAGTAGATCCACTTTCAACCACCCTTCGCAATATGCCGTAGAAAATATTTCTTTTTTTGGCAAGCAATGAAACCGCGATGTTTAAATGTTGGGAAATGGCATTTTTAGTCAATTCGTGAGATATCCATTGCTCTCTCTGCCACGCTTTTGGATCTTTCCTACCGCATGTGAACGTCTACAAACAGTCGATTCATCAACTACTAAGCTGTTGGAAAGTTCTTTGAGAGTTTGAGCCGATAAGTCTTGCAACTTATTGTCTTCGACCTTTCTTCCAGCCTTCTTTGTCATTGACAACAAAACCACTGCTCTTAAATTGTGAAAATCAAAACTGACAATTGGAATATGATGGAGCAACATTACCGTAAGCTTCGAAAAGCGTTTGACGGGCTCGGCTGCAGATATCTTCAAATCAAATAATAAAAATAATGAATGTCGAACAAGCAATTTCGAGGGTTCCATGATTAGGATCTTCATAGACTGAGTAGTTCAGTAATATTAAATGGAAAAGAGTTATTTTATGTAGAGAAAGGTTAAAATCATCGAATTTAAACGTTGTATACATTGATATTCCACATTACCATTATTTTAATACGATAATATAATTTGTGATGTCTTTTGGAGTTTACATTTACACGACGGAATATCAAAAACTCGCAAAAGTTGATGAAGCCAATTTAACATTTGTTTATGCGAAACGTATGATTAATGATGTCTGAGTGATGTTGCTCATAATAAGGCTGTAACTTTGAATTCGAGCACGATATTCTTTGACAAAAGGGGTAGACAACCTTTAACATTAAGGTTACTAAAAACAAGAAAAGAATTGTGCTTGGGTAATTCTAGAACATTTAATAGGTGGGCTGTCGTTTCTTAAGCGATGTTTGTTTGAAATACAGAAGATATACCCTTTCCCTCTCTCTCTCTCTCTCTCACTCTCTTTATTGGTGCCCAATATCATATGTACTTCAGTTTTTATTATTACACGATCTCTGATAAGTCTTCCCAGGTAATTAAAGGCTTTGATTATTAATTACTCACTTAAGAAGGGGTTCAAGGATCTATTAGAGCTCGGCAGAATCCATTAGAGATTGAAGATTAGACATGTGATGCGCGGTAATTCAGTGACATTGATAATTGTACAAGGAACTCTCATGATGGTACGTAGTCAAAATTCCCTTAAAAGCAAATGTGTTCTTTAGTTGTTTGAATTCACTTTGAGAAGAAATATACGAAATATCACTAAAAAAAATTCAATAAATATTAAACAATGTTTCGTTATATGGATGTGCATGAATGAGTTCCAAACGTGTACGTGTGTGTGCATGCATGCGTACATAACAGTCAGTGTGTAAAATTTCAGCACAATAACCTCACATATATTGTCTCTTG